CTGGAAAACATAATATTATTTTTTTAACAAAAAGCATTTTATCATTAATTAATTTAATATATTTGTATTCTATAGGTATGTTTTCACATGTCTTTACAAAAATAATAATAAAATAATACATAATTATTCAAACTAAAGTACTTTTGTTCTTGGGCTTCATATTTTAAATTTTTGCGCCATTGATAGTCTTATTATAAATCACGTGACTACACGCTCCCCTTAAAAAGAGAGTAACGAAGTTAGGAAAGTTAAAAAAAATATTTTTTTTAAAGGGAGGACGTCAAAGTTAGAAAAATAAAAAATTTTTTATAAAGAGGAAATAGAAATAGAAAGAAGAGTGGGAATAAAAGAATAAAATCAAAAAAAATTTTTTTTTTAAAGGAGAGTGATGAAAAAAAAAATTTTTTAAAGCGAGGTACGAAAAAAAAAAATTTTTTTTTAAAGGGGGGTGACGAAAAAAGAAGAAAAATTTAGAAAAAATAACAAAAATAAGACAAGAGAAAAGAGAAGGAAGGGAAAGACAGAAAGGAAGATCGGAAGATCGGAAGATCAAACTCATCAAAGTAAGGGTTTATTTTATTTATTTATTTATTTTATTACTAAAAGAGTGTTAGAACCCAGACTATTACAAATAAAAGAAGGAAGAGTTCGAAAAGACTTGAAACTAATATATGTGTATAGACCTTTGTTCGTCATCCCCTACGGGACCCCACTCTTCGATCTGTACTATTTGATAAAGTAGGACTACGCTAAAAAATCAAATGGGGACCAAGAAAAAACCATCTGAAAAAGTAGCGGCTATCTAAAAAAAAAGTTAAAGGGCGGCTAATATAGTCAAACTTTATCTACAGTATGTTGTGAGCGAAGAGGTTATATCAGTGTTGGGTTTTGGACTTGTCCAATTGGTTTTTTTAATTGGACAATTTTGGACTGTCCAAAACCAGTTTTGGACATAGTTTTGGACATAGTTTTGGACAGTTTAAAACTGCTCAAGAGTCCTAATATTTATCAACTGAAAACAACTGAAACTAAAAATAAAATAAAAATATAATGTTAAAATGTTAAAAAAGTAAATATTTAATATAAATTAAATAATAAAAATTAATGTAAAATCAAAATAATATTAAAAATTAACATTTAAAGATTTTTGAAGTAAATTAATAATTGAAGTAAATTAATAATTGAACTAAAATTAAAATTAGCCAAAATTAGTCATAATTCTGGCCAAAATTAAATTTTTTGTCATGTGATCTGTCCAAAACCTGTCCAATGAAAAAAAGGTTTTGGTTTTGGACAAGTTTTGGACAGGTTTTGGACAAATGTCCAAAACGTCCAATTGTCCAATTGCCCAACACTGGGTTATATGGTGTAATAAAACAATCAAAATTAAAAAAAAATAATGATCCGTATTTTCCTTTCAACCAAGGTTGCCACCTATGAATACTGTAAGAGGTGGAATGGTTCACACTATTTTAAGTTGTGTTATACATATGATAACGAAAATGAACAAAAATGTAGTTAATACTACTAGATAAAGGTATCGTACTCCTATTATTGAGAATACTAATATATATAATATATAAATTAAACGGTCTTGGAACTTGAAGGTCCTATAACCAGGGAGTCATTGGTAATAACTGGCATAGGACGGAGTCATTTCATCTTATGATCCAGAAATGGCAAATAATGATGATCATTATGAGCGTTGTCCCGTTTATTGGAGCGGTATTCAAATTCAGCTGTGTCGTCAGATACCTCTGCTACTATGTGTGTAGGAAATCGCATGGCACCTTGAGTTCGGAGCCTATTATTCTTTAAGAATTTATTTAAATGTTTGTCTAACGTAGCGTTACTACAACCGTATTCGTGATTTTCTTTTCTCTTCACCAAATATTTGGGTATGCGAGCGTGGAAGTTATCTGATGCCTCAGTTAGGAATTTAATGGTATTCACCCGAGAGTAATAATGCTTGGGAGTAGTTCCATAAAAAGCTGATTCTTTGCGTAAGGCGACCGCCTTCAGTTTTTCCTTGTATTCCATTTGAGCTTTTTCTACAATATGAGTCGGAACGTAATTTCCAACAGCTTGTGAACGGTAAATTGGGCGTAGTGGGATATATTTCCTTTTTCTATCATAACGTGCCACTCTATCATTTTGTGGGTAAAAAGATTCATCAACATTGTACATATAAGTGAACCACTCGCAAGATCCAGGAGCTATATAACGATCGTTCACGTAAATTGGATTCGTTGGTATAATATCATGATATTTAGCAGGTATGAATACATCTGGAATCAGATTGTAATCAGAAGGTGGTGTAGATGATGTTACTGGGACTTGACTAAGTTTAGTCATAATTTGTTTCTTGTGATTTGAATCCATCGCAAAAAAAGGAACCAAAAATGGATAGTTATCAGCGTTAGGAATCGTGTGAGCTTGTTTGTACAATAAATGTCGAACGGGAACTTTGACATATTGAGATTTCAAAAATAAAAAATGGTATTTGCGCGCAATTGCCAAGTAATCTTGATTTTTTGCTTTGTGATTGGAAGGTAATCGCATCTTGTTAAATACACGACGGCAGGAGCATTTAAAACGTATTTCTTGTTGTTTCTGTGTCTTTAGATTAGGACTTAAACTATATTTAAAGTTGGACAAAGATTTTCGGTACATATGTCTATTGCCCCGTTGAGTGATAGAAAGAGAGTCTCTAGCATGAATATTGCTATCATACGAAATACCCAGTCGTCTAGAGGTAATACGTTTGGATTTTCCATCGAGCCATCTGTAATATAATAAATTGGCATGAGAAATCTTGTTATTATCAAAATCAGTTGATATTATATCCAGATTTTGTGTATTATTTTGTTTAATATTATTGAAACATTGTGTTTTTGCGAAAATATGTTGATGAGTGACGCATGCGCGTCGATGTTGTGACATAACAAAGGGAGTAGGAATACCACATTCACTGGTCAAAATCAATTCTATCGGGTACATATCGGGTACCTATATATCGGTGGCTAATCGGATAAATATCGGGTATTTTTACATATCGGGTACCCGATAGCTAAGCTATTAGTCACTGATATTGTATATCGGGCATTGATCTATCTTACACATATCAGGTACCCGATATGTAAATTTTAATACGTAAGATTTTTATTTTGTACAACGTACTGTATTATATATAATCCGTTTCAACTAAAATTTTTTATTTAAATTCATTTTTTAGATAATTTTTATAAATAATTTTCTAAGAAATTTTAAAAGTCCATTTGAATAATATTTAATAGGGATTTTATTTAAGAAACTTTTAGATAGATTTTTTTGAGAAATTTTTTAAGAGTCCGTTT